AATGGACTTAACCCTAACTCACTTCAGCGACTCAGGGATTGACTTGCTACCAGGGAAGAATCTCGTTGACTTAGAATACGCGGACGATATAGTCCTTCTAGGCGAGGACTCTGACAAAATGCAGAGTCTACTGAACACCCTGAGCAACAACCTCCGCATGTTTGGCATGCGATTCGCCCCTATAAAATGTAAGATGATGCTGCAGGATTGGACTTCATCGACCCCTAGATTAGAAATAGGAAGTGAAGTGGTAGAACACGTTGACCGCTTCACTTACTTGGGAAGTACCATCAGCCCCAACGGGTTGATCTCCGACGAAATTTCAGCACGAATACAGAGGGCTAGGTTCGCATTCGCCAGTTTTCGCCGTCTCTGGCGTAGACGCGATATCCGACTATCGACCAAAGGGCGTGTGTACTGCTCAACAGTCCGCTCCGTCCTCCTTTATGGCTGTGAGACCTGGCCATTGAGAGCAGAAGACATGAAAAGATTAGCTGTCTTCGATCATAGGTGTCTGCGTTCTATCTCCCGCGTGAAGTGGAATAATAAGGTGAGCAATATTGAGGTTAGGCGTCGAGTGCTAGGTAAGGCGGGGAAATCAATCGACGAGACTGTGAAATTGCATCGACTGAGATGGTTAGGACATGTGCTACGTATGCCTAGTCATCGCCTTCCTCGACGGGCAATGTTAGCTGATATAGGGTCAGGCTGGAAAAGAGCTAGCGGCGGTCAAACCAAAACATGGCACCAATCAATGAAATCCACAACAGTTAATCTAAGCCACGTAGGAAGATGTAGACTTCCTGGTTGGGGCCCTCGGGATGGTAAAAACCAATGGTTGGAAACAATTGGCGACATGGCTCAAAATCGTTCTCAGTGGCGCAGATGCATCCACTCCTTGTGACTTATGATTTCCAATTAAACTTTTGTTCTCCGTTATTACTATTCCTTTGTCTCACACCACTGTTTACTGTCTATATTTTGCATTTCTTCTACTTCCTTCTCTTGCTTTGCGTGCTACATGGATTGTGGCGACTTGAACTGCCGCACATATGTGCAAAGTTCTATGTCGAAAACAGACAGACAGACAGACAGATGTCCTACTGAATCATATCACAAACTAGATACTTCAGTAATGCCACTTGACCGCTATGCGCTTCTTCTGGCGTAAAAATGCATCACACAGTGAGAACAATTAACTAATATATGCTTATGAAGTGTCTAAGAATAAATGAAGATTTCTTGCATGAAAGATGAATCGAAATACTGTCTGCAAGACGCATTTCAAAAGGCGAAGACCGCGCACGACAATCAACAAGCGCTTATAAAGAGTGGTTTCCTCTCGTGGTCTTTGGAGTTGTTTCTTCTTTTGCGTTCCGAATGGAATACGGGGTTGTAAGCTTGAGCTTTTAAAGTTCATTAATTGTGATGTTATTCTTTTCTTCCTTTAACAGGTGAAGTTGCCAGCCTCACACCCAACCTTCCCTCTTTACCTGGCCTACTACCGGCTAAATGAAGTTTAGGAGCTCGTTAACTGTGAGTTCAACCACTGACCACGTGCGTGTTTGCTGCTTGACCACAGAGATAAATGAAACAGAATCTTTTGCCAGGGCCAAATGACAAGTATCTAGTATTAGGCAGAAATAAAGTATGATATGGAAAACTGATTTTAGCTAAATGAAGTAGATAGCTATCCAAGTATTCGAAAGAACCAGACAAAATTACCAATAAAAACATTAGACAAAAGTGACACCGACGGTTTTGAAGTCTGTTTATATTTTATTCCTTCATAGTTTGAATAGTTGACAAATCAAGGTGCTATCTCCCATATATATTTCAGAAATCGTTGTTTGGTGTGATAATTCCTACTTTACATCCCTTCTTTCTCTCTCGTCTTTCCATCCTATCCTCATGTCTGAAGAGTAAAATTCTATTGTCTACATTTTCCTTTGTATCTATAGGCTAACATGCAGTTCTGAGCATAAATGTATCTTCACAATTAATCAGATGTTTCATTATCGTTAGAAAAAACAAGCTCCCGGGTAAATCCTGATGCGCCTGATCTCAATACAAATCCAACAAAGTCCATTATGAAACATTTATCGGTGGCTACTCATACAGTCAGTTAAAGTGACTTACTTTTTCTCATTTATTTCATAAAAGTAATTTTGATAAGTTTTCGTCAGACTTAAATATTACTGAATAAAAATATCCTTTTCATTCAACATCTGACAACTGTACACCATTAAGTCTAGTCTAATTCTTTATTTTCTTCTACGGTTGATTGGAATGAAATTCATATATTACCTTAAGTCATATAGCAAAATGATTGTTTCCTCGTTGAATGACAACTCTTATTTTTACAATCCGAGAATTCGCACTATACTGAATAGAAGGGATGCAAAAAATAGCAAGCCTTTTATTTTGGTAGTGTTATTTTTATCGAAATGTCATGTTATGAAATTGTTGCATGATTTTTTTTCATATAAGTGTAGTTGTCTGTTTAGTCGAATGATGAGAAGTAGGAAAATCAAATTGCTACTCTTATAAGTGCTAACAAATAGACTGTTTCGGTGAGATACTGAAAAACATAAATTTCAAAAATATGCATGAAGCTACTTATTCCAAAATAAGTAGCATAACATTTAAAGCTAAAAAGGTACACGTTTAGCTAGCCTTCTATAGATTATGAGGTTCACTATAGGTTTAATAGTTAGCTTATTTACCGAATGTCGGTTAACCTTTAGCCTTACCGATTTCTCCGAAATCTTGGAGAATCGGCGATGAAACTTCATTTTCAACGAACTACGCTATTTCTTGCAACTCAATAATTATTTCCTACAAAATCGTGGGATATCGTCTAGATGCATTTGCACAAATTCACGTTGTAATTATGCTCCTTTCATTCAACAATTTGTTAGACTTATACACTGCTACATCCTGAGTAACCCTTATTGAATTATCTGATCCATTTACTTTGAAGTAGATGGATGGGATTCTGATGAAGAGTCCCAAACTAGGACGAAACAGCTGTCCAGTACTCCCAGGTTTTCCAGTGGTTCCTAACTGATGTCAGCTCATGATGAAATCCTCCATACAATTAAAATAAATGAATGGAATCTTTTGGCTAGAAAAGTTTGCCATACTTTAATTCTACCTCTTTTAAGTATTCTGTACAGAATTTCCAGTGTTCATGACCACACTGTAAGACTTTTTCTTTATCAGTAACATTTTTATTTCCGGACATTTTCATACTATGTGTATCATATTGAAGAATGGTGTTGCATTGTTAGTGTATCCTTGGCATGTTTCTTTCTTTGGTTAAGCCTTTGGCTGCACCACATAAGCAGTTAGTCAAGTTCAGTTAATTTCTGAGAACCGAGAAGGTTAGAGTTCTAGCCGTTAATTGAATTTAGTATGTAGTTAATGTGAAAGGTATTTCGAAGGAGGAAATTAGTTCAATGAAGTAAGCATACAGTAACAGTCACTGACAAAATATCGAATTACATAATGCTTATTCTAAATGACAGATTGAGATGCTATTAAAAAAGAAAAATAGAAAAGGAATGTAGAAGTAACTCTTTCAGCAGACCACCTAGTAATGCACGGACAGATTTTATCACTTAGGGAGATCATATAATCCGAACTGTCGAATACCAAATGCTTTAACTTAACATAAGTGCCATGGTATTAATATATGAAGAAGGTGGTTCTGGTCTTTAAAAAGTTAGGCGTTGACCCATTTCGATGTGTGACCCATTAACTTCCTATACAATATAGTGCCAAAACGAAACTGTTCTTCCCACTAATGGTTATATCCGGGAGGTCTAATATTGCATCGATAATAGCCAGTATTAATTACAAGTGCACACCCATTTTCCAAATGGTTAGGATCAGGCAGAATAATTGATAGAAAATAATTGGGCTCCTGTTATTTATTAGGATGATGTAACTCAAGTTAACTAGATACAAATATAACCATAGTACATATAAATTCACAAATTTTCGGAATGCCACATGTTCAATATTTAAAAATAAATCAGACATTAGTGGTCTAGATGCATGAAGACATACATAGTACACTGATATTTAAGAGGTTTGCTAAGTCGTTTAAACCACTGATTTAACCTAACCACTTATATTAAGGATACCCATTAGTTATACTTGTTTTAAAGATGGTCTTTAACAGGTTTTGAAAATATTATGTAAGGGTTTTAAACGAGATCAGTTCGCCCCCACCAGGGTTCGAACCCAGGGCATTCCATTTACGAGGTGAGCTCGCAGGCCATTCAGCCAATGGGATATGATCCAATAACCCATGAATTCTAGCTCCTGCAAATTCGCGTACTGTTGAAGAGTCTCAAACTAGTCTTACGAAACAGCTGTCCAGTACTCCCTGAAGGTTTTCCAATGGCCCTCTGACTGATGTCAACTCAGGATGAAATCCCGTAACTAATCAAACCAAATCCCTGCAAAACAACACTTTCAGATCCTATTTTCAGTTATATTTTGTTCTATACTGGATTTTATCATTTCAACAAAGTAATCTCAAAGTCAGAAAGTAAACAGAAATATGTGAAGCTCTGTTAAAGGGTCTATATTTGACAAACTGTTTTATAACGGGCGATTATATTGTATACCGAAGTTTGATTTGACGCTATAAAACAAAGCATGTCTGATGAAGTAAGCCACATATACTATCGCAAAATCATGAAAATGTCAGTGTTTATCATTTAACTTTGAAACTTGCTGTCTAGATATGGGTATCAAACAACATTTAACGCTACAAACTAGCAAAAACTTTACAACAGCCCGAAAATAAGCATCTCAGAACAATTTTCCAATTCATAATTTAATGTCGAAATATTTCAAAAAAGCTTACTTATGTTACTAGGTTAACATAGCAACGAAGTACGCCGCTACAATTAGTGTCATTGTCATGATTACCGGTAAATTCTATCCTTCAGATAGAAATAATCTGAAGTGAAATAGTACATTTTTGCTAACAAATAGGCCTAAATTCACTTCTCCTCTTAACATGTACTCAGAATAAGAAAAATATCAGGATAGGCAAACACTAAAGACGTTGACTTTTTCAACAAACAAAACAAACAATCCGCAGATGGTTGAAATCTTGTATTCAGGAAAACTGCTTTTTTGACTTTTCATTGGGATAATTTCCATGATCTGGGAAGTTCATATAGTCTCGCAGATGTATCATTAAGTGAAATATGATAAAAGAGATATGCTGTAAAGAAAAAACTTGTGCGTTTATTCGTTTAGCATATGTACATAGTAAATTTTAGGAATATTGAATCAGACAAGTAATATTTCAGAACAAAATATCAATATAAAAATAGGAAAGACAGATACAACTATTAGAAAAGTAAAACAATCAAAGAAATGGGGGTAATATGTGTTTCACTGTGAGAGTCCCCATACCAGAGGTCAAAACCCATTGAATCAAATAAATATGTAATTGCGATATTGATAATTCGAATTGAGATTTATTGGTTATTCTAAGATTTGAACTCATGAACAAGTGCATCAACCCACACACACATATATCTACTAACTAGTTTGAGTGAAAAAAAAGATTCCAGATTATTTTTGTGTAGTGTGAAGTTGAGTTTTTAGGGGAAACAGAATTAGAGGACATGACGGCAGTGATGTATGGCTCTGTTCAGTAACAGCATAGTAAAGCATGACATTCCCAGTAGACTGCCCAACATTTTCCGTTTGTCTTGAATGCTCTGCACCACTCGAAAGTTTATTGTTCACTTCTAAAATGTTGAAAGACAAATTTTGTTTAAAAAAAGCCCAGTTAGATATACTGATAAAGGAGATGAATCATTCTTTTTCGATGAAATAAGAATGATCATTAGTCTCACCATTTTTTATTCTTCTATCAGTATGATGGTAACAGTTGACTTTCACATGAGGTATTTCTCCAATTATTCTATTCTGATCATATACAGTCCAGTAGGTATCAAAATCAATTAGCTTGTGAAAAAGAAAATGAGGCGTTTTGTTTAAACAGGTCTCAAAAAGTGACCTAGAAAATGTTACGTATTTATTAATTTAAAACAAAAACCAGTGCTTTCCTCCAATACAAATAAAGAAAAATAATCTAGTTTGGTTAGGGAAAGCAATATTTTGCGCATATACATAAACCAGAAATGCAGTAAGAAATGAACAGTAGAAACCCTTTCGGAAAAAATATCTTATTCATAGAGTAATTTAAACTGACAGCTTGTACACTACTCACTGTTACTATTGTATCAATCAGTAGAGCTATATGATTCGATTGTAAACTAAGTTTCAACTACTTTTATAGAAACTTGATACTCCTCAGTTAGGTGTTATATGTTAGTCAATATCTACTTGTTGCCTAAGTTAAACTTATAGTAAAAACTATATTGCAAGCATGTATATAAAATTATGGAATATATGAAGTGAAATCAATACATTTTCATTTGTTCAACAGATAAACTAGTTAGTATAGTAGTCAGTCAGTAACCTTGGAATCTACTCTTCAAATCTAGTTACATTTTAGTTTTATTTCTTCAATGAAACAAACAGTCAATCACTTCATTGTGAACTCTGGTTTCTCTAAGCGAACTGATCGACAGTATGAAATATAAAGTGTGGTCTGGATTTGATGATTGAGCTTTCTAATTATCTTTAGACTGTTTATAACAGTCAAAATACATAAAAATGTTTTCAGTAGTATCAATAGCTTTTGAAAATTGACACATGGATTGATTTTATCTTTCAATACTAAATATAATCAGGGAAAACAAGTACACTAATAGTAGGTGTGCTTGTTTGTTATGTGATAGCTTAAAAACTAGTTTAAATTATGACGCACCATTTAAATTTAGTATTGTTTAAAATTTAGATACAAGTGAAACCAAAACGATATATGACAGTTACAGATGCATGAAAAACAGTTTAGTACTAATAAGCGCATCGGAAAAGCGATAATATCATCATACATAATGTAGATGATGTTGAAACTTCAACCAATTCTATAAATTATTATACCTACTAGATAAGAAACGTCAGTTTGTTTCCATTTGTAGGTGAAAATCGTTTGTAAATATGTCAGTGAAGATATACTTAATTTTTGACGACCTGAGTGCTGATTGACAAATTACCACCACATACATTTCTGTATATGGGTGGAAGTTGATAAATTCTTCTGACATGAGAATTTGAGAAAATTATGTGCTCATTGAATACTATTGACCCCAAGGTAGAATTAATCAGTAGGCTTTATAAGCGAAGCAATTAATGAAAACGAAATAAACACTGACCATCTATTTGGTCATGGTTTTGAAGTCCTTCTGTAGTACACATTCACCACTTCATGAAGCACCGAGTTCAGAGTAGTCGAGTAAGTCGTTATCTAGTTAATGAGCCTAGATTTATTGGCTATATGATCAAAACTAGCCCCTTCCTAAATCTCACGCATAGGTTAATTAGTTAGTTGTTTTCAGGTCAGATTGGTATCCTAAGTATCAATCTTAACAACGGGATAGTAGTAGCAAGTAAATGAAATCAGTAGCCACTGGAATGCAGAAGCTTTTGTGATACCACAGTCCACAAGCTACTTTCAGAAATGTAAGATGAAAATATTTTTAACTTTAAATGAGCAATATAATTTTCTTAGAAAATATACTCAGTGTACTAATTTTAAAGATAAATTTCAAGGTAAATGCACATCAGCATAAGGAAAGGAAACATTTCCCGTCAGAAATAGTTAGTATTTGTCCCCTTCTTATCACAGTGTCATAACGTTTATTTACATGAAGAAAGTTATTCAAAAAGTACTGTCATAGCTTGCATTCGTCTTTGTTCGTGACTAAGAATGTTAAAAGTTCGCCACACTTTCTTCTGCATTGGTTATGGTAAAGTATTACACTAAAAGTTTGTGCCTAAAACTGAATTAGGGGCTGGAATACCACTTTACTATTTTGGTACGAGGTTCAGTCACATCACCTCTGAAAACATCCTGTTTTGAACGAAAACTTGAATTAGAATGAGAAAGTATATCACATAAAGAGGGTAAATTATTGTATAACGGGTTAGAGTGCGAACTAGGGACTCTGCAGAAGAAAACAAAAACTGTACTGACAGCGTAAAGGGATAAAGTAAAACGCCTGAAAATGTTAAAAGTTAATACATATTTTTTAAACTGTTCACCACATGTTTACCATGAGTTTGTGAGGTTAAATATCTCATATTTCGTTTACCAAATAAACGTTTATTTTTTTCCGAGGAGTTATTTCATGTGTAAAGTGTTTGAAAATACTAGCTCTGATCAATTATTCCAACAAGTAAATCAAATATTTTGGTTTCTACCTAAGCCTGTCACTTGGTGTGACAAGTACTAACTTTCAATAGAGTAGCTCGCAGTTAATTATGTCTAACCAACGACAGCAAGCACCAATCATTGTCAACAGGAAAAGTCTGAAAGAGGTCACTTTCTTCACTTACCCAGGCATTATCGTTTCAATTATAGGTAACACAGATGAGGATGCCAAGGCTGGCCTACATCATTCTGAAATCAGTTTGGAAGTCTGCTGTAGTCGGCATAAAGAGCACAATTCGTATTTTCAAAACCAATGTTTAGTCACTTCTTCTATATGGGTCGGAAACTTGGTGCGTCACGGAAAGGGTCTCCAAAAGCTTGCTGCAAAGCTTTATCAACAGCTACCTTCGCTCCATATTGAAGAACAAATGGCCAGAAACAATAAGCAACAAGAAACTCTGGGAACGAACCAATCAAAAGTTTATTGGTCAAATATGTGGAGGAAAATGGAGATGGATTGGACATACACTTAAAAGACCGCTGAATGACATCACGCGACAAGCCATCTATCGAGTGGACCCAAATAAGAAACGACGCTTTGAGCGTCCTAAGGTGACATGGAGGAGATCGCATGAGGAGGCGATAAAAGCTTATGAGCAATGATGCAGCCAGCTTGAGAGGGCTGCAGAGAATAGGACAAAATGGAGATGTGCTGCTGGAGTCCTATGTTCTACTCAGAACCCGAGGGAATAATAATTATGTGCTCAACACCAAGAAGCGGAGAATTTAAGCAAAAACATTTCAAAACGACAGAGAAGCTGAAAAAGTAAACGGATTACCTATTCTGCGTCTAGTACACAGATTAATATTGATGAATACTCCATCTTTTCATGAAGCTCAGCAGTATGTTTCACTCAAAGTCTTCTGTATAAATGTTAGCCATTTCGCGCGTATTTCAATATTATTTTATTTGAAAATAAGTCGAACTTTTACTCAAACATGTTTAATCCAGAACTTCTAGAAAAAGTACTACATTTGTTAGACTATCGTATCTGATTGATGCAGTTGGCAGGCAATCAAAATGTGTAGTGTTCTCCAATTCAACTATTCAGACGTTAAATTTCCTTTCGGTATTGAGTTTTAATAACATTCTCTGTTACAGACTACCAGTTAATACAGTTGTGTAGCAGCATCATTGTTACAGCTATCTTTTCCCTGAAAGTCATCAGAGTCGACTAAAAATGTATAGGTGGAACTTATCGTAAAGTTTACTTTTAAATCATAGAAAAAAGTCAAGCATGACAGATGTTCAATGATGTAATCACACAGATGTTTCAACTGAAGAGACTTTATTACCTGGTCGGATGGAAGGACCACTGATTCAGGATTTCCTGGACCCAACTACAGGGTCCATTTTTCCGAGTAATTGACAGTTGTTCTTAATATTGCTAATCTTTATTGTATTGAATGAAGACGCTGGCTTGCGTTTTAAGTTAAATACGTCTTACTAACAGGTAAATTTTGTTTAATAAAGTTTGGGCAAGTGTTCACATATCTGTCATTGTTTTCATGCAAGGTGTGTTGAGCTGGTCCGCCACAAAGGTCTTCGTTTGAAATGCTCTACTAGGAGCAAGGGTCATAAAAGAATTCTGAAGTGGTAACGAGATTTGCCTGTTGTAGCAAGTATTAACTGTGTTAGACGATTGCAAGCAGTCAGCAGGAAGTCCTGGACCTAAAATTTATGCTTGTTGACACTCTTCAACAAACCTGACTGATAGGATTCAGTCAACGACAACGCCAAAGACAAGACGGACAACATTGGTTACTCCCTAGTGACCAATTATTGTATTCATTGTAGTCTTACTGATAAGTTGTGAGCCCCAATAGCTCGATGTTAACGTTTAAGACTGCAGCATTGGGTGATTCAGGTCTGATTAACAGAAGAGGATACATCTCCCCTAAGGCTGTAGATACGCGTTTGTGAGGAGTGCCGACAAGTACGAGACATAGGTCTACGGCTTCATGCTGAATGCCTTCAACCATCTAACGTCCAGTCGTTGTGCACTACGATAGCGAGTCACCTGGCTTCGCGATCATACCACAAACTTGACTGATAGAATTCAGTTAGTACCAACACCAACTACTGGCTGCTAACATTTGTAAGGGTACACTGAATATGTCAATGCTATCACATGAAACAAAAGACTGGATACGATATTAAATGTCACAATAATAATAGCACAGATTTTAGTCTTGGAGACTTGTATAAATCATCTGCAATGCATCCTATGAAAGTTAACTATTTGGTAAGAATTTCTTCGTATGAAATCTTGAGATTTTTGTTAAAGAAGTTTTCCACAACACTTCATGACGTCAATGGATCACAATTTATGATAAATTTATTGGTGTAGTGACTATTCTATCATGTAATACTTAAGTTTAGCGTCGGCGGCATAGCGGTTAGGACGCTCGCCGACCATGCACATGGTCCGGGGTTCGATCCCCGGCCGACACACTCCTTTATCTCGCTAAGCCAGAAACAATGCTGGTGAAGAGGAAAGGTTGGGCATGAGGCTAGCAACCCCATCCTGTAAAATAAACACTGTTACAGAAACTTCAAGCCACTAGCTTGAAGCCCTATGTTCCACTGGGGAAAATGAAGGATAAAAAAATACGTAAGTTTAAAGTAATCATTATTATCGTTACCACATCGCTTAACTCCACATCATTAGGTGGATTTCTGAAAAGGCTATTCTTAAAAACTGCTGTTGCAATCTACTGTAGTTTGCAAAATCGGTTCTCACGTATGTTTTGTACACATGAGTCTGTAATATTTTGTTTTATATATCATGACAAAGTGGGATATAGCGAAAATATTCACTCAGACATTTATAAAAAACAAAATAACTGGGCAAAGAATATCCTTCTCGATAATTTCCTCTTCTGGCTCTACAATTTTATATATATATATGTTTTTACACACTGAATATTCTAGAATAGTAGTCAATAACAATGTTAGCGTTTTTTAAATGATATCAATTTGTTAAGTAAGATCAATGGAATTACAGTTCATTAAAAATGCATAACTTATAATAATAATAATAAAGTAGTAGCGAATAGAATAACAACTAAAATTAGGGAAATCTCCATAAAAATTGAGGATCATTCAAACCTAGATGTTGGCCAAGGTAAGGATAATGTCTGAACTAACTTCTTTTAGACGCATAAATTGGGCTTCTTAATATGGATCACAACGGCCTCAGAAATATGTAGTAGACGAACTCTTAAGGCGAAATTAAGATTAGTTGGTATGCGGTAAATAACTTTGACTACTCCTGTGGAGCTAGTTACATAGGCCGCACAATCAAGCGTGTTTCTCGTTGGATTTCCGAACATCACCCTATGTGCTTAAGGAATGGACAAACAAAAGCTATTCGTAGCGCTATTCTATCTTATCCTGTGGATACAGAACACAAAATTGATGTCAACGAGGCTTTCAAAGTCATTTACTGCATACCAACTAATCTTAATTTCGCCTTAAGAGTTCGTCTACTACATATTTCTGAGGCCGTTGTGATCCACATTAAGAAGCCCAATTTATGCGTCTGAAAGAAGTTAGTTCAGACATTATCCTTACCTTGGCCAACATCTAGGTTTGAATGATCCTCATTTTTTATGGAGATTTCCCTAATTTTAGTTGATATTCTATTCGCTACTACTTTATTATTATTATTATTATTATAAGTTATGCATTTTTAATGAACTGTAATTCCATTGATCTTACTTAACAAATTGATATCATTTAAAAAACGCTAACATTGTTATTGACTACTATTCTAGAATATTCAATGTGTAAAAACATATATATATATATACAATTGTAGAGCCAGAAGAGGAAATTATCGAGCAGGATATTCTTTGCTCAATTATTTTGTTTTTTAAAGTGGAATATTTCTGAGAAAAAGAATATCAAAATTTATTTCTTCATATAAAATGTTTAGATGATGGTTTTAACATGTAATTCACACTTTTTTCATTTAATACATAAGTGTTTTAAGTGACAAAAGGAATCTACTAAGCTAATAAAAGTCAGTTATAAATTATCCAACATCATAGAAAAACGCTAAACATTTAAACAAATAGAAGTGTACTCAACTTGAACTGTACAGAACATGCTTTAAGAAACTGGTAGTGAAAATTGTTAAACAGACAGTTCAACAATGGATTACAATAACAGAAATTGTAAAGTTTATAATTACAGTGTTAAAGTAAATCAGTTGTAAAATTTCACTCCCTCTAGATTAGAGTAGGCAATCAGATTAGAAAACCTACGCGAAATATTGTCTTTGAAGAACTGAAATAAAATTACGTAGGTGAAATTTTACGCTAAACCAGTGATTTTTTATGCGATCTATAGAAACGCTTTCCTTTAAACTCATAAAGTGCTATTATTATTCTTCGAAATTCACTTTATTTAAACCTTGTTCCAAGCGTTTATGTATGCGTTCTATACAGTATACAGGGAAATTTTACGAAAAAAAAACATTGTAGGTTTAAGCTGATTTCTTTAGATTTTAAGCACCTACACACAATAAAAACTTCAGTGGGTTTATTCAAATCTCAGACGTTTTTCTTTTTCATTGTTAGTCTGGCATATCATTTAGTAGATGTAGGCGCAGACGGATAACAAAATTCATTTGATTTTGTTGTCTCGTGAGTGTCTACTACACTAGATTATGCTTTACATAGTATATTATAATTTTTTGAATTACACAAAGCTTATTTGACTATTACTACTTCAAAGTTTTGACAATGCCTAATTGTATGAATGCCCTTTGAGTGTATGAATGAATGAATGAATACACTAATTATTCACTGGAAGCTATTTGGATTACAATATCATACAATATAGTTTAATGTTAATCAAAAAGACATTATAACACTTCTGTATTCATGATGATTGTGTGGGAATTTAGGGACATATGGATTGAATTGAAAGATTCTGATTGACTTTAATTTTATCCATTGATTTCGAATGAAGACAATGATCAACTTACCTTTATCTCATGTTCTTGCGTTTCATCTGGTTTTTTATTACCACTGTCTGAAATCACACTAGGCAAAATATATTCACCTAAACTGTAATAAATGATAAAAATAAGCAGAAGAATAGAAACAAGAAGGAGGATATAAAGAGAATTAAAGTGAAAACTTGATTTTCTTCTTTGACAAAAACAAAAAAAGATTCACCCTTGATTTAAAGTAGTAGAAAAAACGAAAACAAACAGATAAACAAATAGTGCTAGTGTAGCCATGTATACAACCAGGTGAAGTTAATAGCCATTGTCAATTGAACAACTTTTAAAATATCATTTCCTCCTCACAACGATAATAATCATAATAATAATAATAATGAACATGAAAGTTTTGAGGTTATTCACAAATAATGATTAGTAGGGATTTTGCAAAATAATCCTGCAAAGTGTTATCGCAGTCTTTTTGTTTTAGATATCTTATCGAAATTTAAAATAATAGGGAAGAATAAATTGACTCATTTTGTTAAAGAATGCAAGAATTAGCTTCTATTGGTGAAGTTTTAGAATTTTTAGAAAGATGTGAAGCATATATATATACTACTGTTTATATCTGTTAGAATTATAGATAAATTAGTGGAAAGTTTTGTTTTTAAAGAAGTACACATCAGGCGTCAGATGCATGCAATAACCAAGGTGATTCACTGTGATGGGAATGATGAGCATAATCCTTATCTGTCAATATCCTGGAAAGAGACAGAATGTCAAGAAGGCATCTAGTAAATTTATTCTGTTTATTACAGGGGAAAAAGGCGAAAGCCATTGAGCAGATGAAAAAAACAGTCATATATAGCAAACATCTATCTGTCACTTTCACCTAAGTCTTCAGCTGTGGTTGTGTAGTAATCACTTAAAGTAAGGGGAATATCTGAAGAAAATTTAGTATGGCTTACATGGATTCTAAACTTGAATTTTACAAAATGTTCTACACTAACAGTATGCATGTTTCACTACGCATTACCTGATACTTTTCAAAACTGAAGTGTCTGAGTAGTATAAAACACTGCTTTAACCTTCGTCATCATCCTTTTGTCTGTATATATATTTATTTGACAGCAGCCATCACCGACAGTTGAAACATACTTTTCCAAACATAAAGTAATATTCACCAAACAGCGTGAAGCTTCAAAGTTTTTCCTCGTAAATGATAGCGCTTTAAGTGTTCCGTTTTCCTTGTGTTATTAAGTTGATGGTGGTTGGCGATAGAATATATGACTCAGGTTTTGTCGCACTTTGATCTCATCAGTGAGTGGAGGCATCATCATTTTAAATTCTAGCACGATCTGCCAGTTTCAGTAAGTTATCAACCAGTACTGTTTGCATAGAAAATGGCTCTCATGACTCAGTAGATTAGTGAATAACTCTTTGACATTTCAAACGATGGGTACTGAGTTTGAGTATCAGTAAGAATTTTTTTCCTTCACATTCCCAGTGGAACATACGGCTTCAAGCTAGTGGCTTGAAGTTTCTGTAACAGTGTTTATTTTACAGGATGGGGTTGCTAGCCTCATGCCCAACCTTTCCTCTTCACCAGCTTTTAGCTCTGGCTTAGCGAGGTAAAGGAGTGCGTTGGCGGCCGGGGATCGAACTCCGGACCATGTGCATGGTTGGCGAGCGTCCTTTCCACATTGCCACCGACGCACACCAGTAAGAATACTACCACTCTATTAGGAGCAAAGAAATTCAATTGACGAGTCTCAATTAAAACAAAATATGTCACCTGGATTTCAGTGTTAGCTACCACCAAACATGTAACCTTTGGTTAGTAACTACACAAACACGATGGCAGCCATTAAAGGAGTTCATTTACTAAAATTAGGCTGATCAATCTGGTCTATATATATTAACAGGAAAGTCAGAACTGTACATAAATAATTTCAGATAATATCCGTTGCGTAAGAAGCGGCTTTTGGTATGCAATGTTTTTATGGTTAACGCCTTGGTGTTTGACACGATACGTTCGGGTTTCAACTGGAACACTACAACTCATGTAAGTACATTCAGCTAACGAAGCCAAGAAGCCTGTTCAGAATTCTCCTGGTAGCTACAATGATTTCGATAACACTAGATTAATCTCAAGATACATGCGAAGCGCCGATATTCTACCATGGACGGAGCAGTTTAGCCAACCAACTGATAATGTAAAAGTGTCATTAGTTATTCCATTTTCTCTTCAACTATTTCAAATATTCAAGTATTACGAAGCTTCTGTCATCTTCTTCCACAAAAATTGTTTCGACTTAAGATAGATTATATATTTATGAGATAAGGATTGTTAGTTTGTTCCTATCATGGAATATCTATAGAACACAATTGGAAAGTAACTGAATAAGTTGGTTAATTAGGCGTCTTCATTTCTCTTTTAATCTAAACGTTTTGATCCCTCTGCTATCAGGTGATATAATATAGAAAGTTACTGCAAGCCAATATTTGTAAATAAAGTGCGATCATATCGAAGAATTATATTATGTATTACTTACGTTCTTCTATTAAATACAAAAATATATACAGATAAATGATATATCATTAATAATATACTTTTCAATGTACAATAGTGATAATAAAAATAATCATACACTAATCTTTATGTGTGATATTAATTCATGAGTAAACGTAGCAGAAACAACACAGATAAGGTTTGAATTGTTTATATTTTACAAGAAACAAGGGTATATTAAAGTTCGTTCATAGTAGATACGTGATAAGTGACAGAGATAATTACAAATATTTTGTCTATCGGTAATGATGTTGTCATAGTGATAAAGTAAAACAAAATTAGTCTGTCACAAATGTATTAGACTTCATCATGAAAATGTTTGCTGTAAAAGCACAACACAGACGTGTATGCTTGTGTCAAGCTAACTGACATTCAATTTTAAGTCAAGGCATCTGAAAATGTTCGAAAAAACAAACCTATAAAATGAAAATGGAAGTACTGGGATACAGTCTTGATCAGGAATAACTGGCTTACTGTTTGTGGCGAAATAAAGAGAGAATACATGTGCTCTTGAGTCTCCATTTGCTAATAATCACTACTTGTTTATTGGTTTTGAGTTTAGTACATTAGATAAAAGCAACAGATGATGAGGTTACTAATAATTGTGTTGTAAAATTAATGATAGGTTTGTAGTGAAAGCAGTACAAGATAGCCGTCATAATATAACTGCAACTTATCACTGTCTAATTGTTAGCGTCGACCTATTTGTCAACAAGACTAATTAAATCTCATTTTCATTTTACTTATAATAAGTAAACGGTAATAATTGATGAAGCTATCTATGCACGTGCTTCATCACTCTGACAGTTTATGAAATGAATTTATTTCAGTAATTCTGCAAATACCAGATTATTCTATTTCTTAATTGAAAGTAATAAGTTATTTATTTCAAAAATGAATTAAGACACCTACCATTATAGAATATACTTTAAAAGTAACATGTGCAGCCCACGTGGGACTTTTTACTTTTGTTAGAAATTTGTTGATTCTGATCGAATAAGGTTTGGAATGCTAATAATAAGTTAAATCATTGAATATGGAAGAAAAGTGAGAATTCCATCATGCCTTCCTAACTTTTGATTTATGCGTTAAACAAGAACGGTACTGTTATACTAAAGCCCGTGAATAAGTCATCGCCATTTATTTTAAGAAGACACAAGCAATTGAAATATACAAGATGGCAACTGTGAGCTTCAGGCTGACAGTTATTACAAGTTAGCCAGAATAACTTGTTATCCTTTTGGTGGCATATGGCACTGACGTCTACATATCAGGTTTCAGTTTATCAATCTGTTTGCTACAGACTCATCATCTAGAATTACTCACATCTCAACGTTTCGACAGTTACATTAAAACCGAGACCTAATTCAACATTTCAAAATTCGAAGCAATATGCATTAGGCTGATGGCCTAGGAAACCTGTTTCCATTCGTGAATATCTATGGAATATTCTAAGAACAGAAAATCAGGCTATTAATATCAGTAACTTCATTTACCTATTATTTTATTATATTTTCTATTTCTGATTCTGTTCATTAACTGTAGAAAGCATAACGAATCATAAATTGTTATCAGCAGTTTCAGTCTTACAGTGTACAAGAATGAAGTCTTTGCAATAATATAATGGATAGTACATAACCAAAGGACATTTTGAGAGCTTCACCATTTTTCTCCTTAAACTTCGAATATAGATATGCCTTTATTCTTAGAATCATTGTGAATAGACTCTGCGGTCACAAAGGGCTTGATTCATTTATGTCCAATAAACCATTTGCGTACAATTGACGCTTCTGTTTTCTTGACAGGGTATTTGTTTAAATGCTTCAAGTACACAGATGTCTTAATGGATGACTAGGTGTATATGCAACATATGAACATACTACATGCTCAGGAGGGTTTTTACAAATAATCGAGATGATCTAATTCTTGTAATGTCATTTGACTGACGTTAATATTGTAACCTGAAACCGAACAGTCCCTCTGTTTACAAAAATTATCAATGTGATATCTAAAATGGGTTAACTTTTGCCTGTAATGATGATGTTTGTATGATTAAATAAATTATGAAGATATGTTTTATACTTATTGAAAGAAGATGCTTTGGTTCACACACGTAAGTCAATCAAAGAAACCCTATCAACAAAGATCTATGGATTCAAACATTAGTGAAACCTAGATCACTATATTCTAGTTCATTTGCCAAATACTCATATCAAAATAGTAAACTTGAAGGTTACTGATTCTAACTTGACTGACACCAAGATTTTCATTTCAAATTCATTCATCAACCACTGTGTCAATAGCAGTCTGCCAATTCAAGTCTATCACAGATGGCCTCACTATCACTATGCGTCAATCAATAAGAAAATGCGAGGTATTATTGATATAAATGTCAGAAAAAGTTGTGTGAGTAAGTTGATATGATTATGAGCAATAGTTTGTGCTCGAAACGTCATCAGTTAATATTACTGTGTAACACTGTGTGATTTATAAAAATAAAATCTTATCCATAATGAAAATGCGAGGTAGTTTTCTAATGATAGACTGATGTTTATTAGATGATTGGAGGCAATCGGCAGGGAGCCTTGGACTTAGGATTCGTGCTAGTTGTCACTCGACAGCAAGGCGTATCTGAAACCTTGAAGGAACTCATTTCCCTTCTGAGCTCAGTGATAACGTCCCTGACCACAGCACTGGGTGACGCGGGTTTGAGTCTCAGAAAGGAAAAAGTGACTTCCTTGAACGTTTCAGATACACCTTGCTGACGAGTACTAACTAGCACGAAACCTAGGTCGAAGGCTTACTGTCGATTGCCTTCAACCATCTAATACCAACAATTCACAGTACATCGTGATGGAGAGCCACCTAGTATTGAATCCACATTGCAAACTTGACTGATGGAATTCAGTCTGCACCAAAGATAGGACTAGGCACACACACTACACTAGTTATTGACTAGTATCCAACCAAAAAGACTGATGTTTGAATAATGAATGAGTATACAAAATGAATTAGAAAATTAATTCACAACAGCATTCGAATGAGTAGCCCCTTTTCTAATAATAATCCATCACCTGACTGTAAACCTCTCATTTAGCCAATTAAATAGTGAAATCAGGCATACGAACCATTAAAAATCTGGTATAAAATAAAACACAACTAAAGCTGTTTTTACCACTTTAATCGTCACTCCAACGAGTTAACGGGGAACTCTAAAGAGTATATCTTTCACTCTTCTGCTAAGTTATCTTCTTTATGAAACAGTCAGTGTGTTACAAAGACGGGTTTACGACGTTTTTCTTCAAATTTTACACTTATTTAGAGGTTCTTTGACTAATAATCTTTATTCTTCGAAACTTACCTCAGTTTACGTGGATTTCTGTAAGCAGAAACAAGACATTTTATGATGACTAATATTCACTGGTTTATTTTACCTGTAGCGTTTTACAATTTAATCAAATCTGAGAAACACTACTAAGATTATAAAAGGCTTCTCTATTTTTATATAATGCATAATTCAGTTTAAAGTAGTACGATCTCAGTGTTAATCCGAAATAAGCAAGAAGATAAGTGCTGTATGAACCTGAACTTTAAATAATTTTCCGGATTTTCCTTCCTTTCTTCTTTGCCTTTTGTTTCTCCTATGTTGTTTAAATACTGAGAGAAAATAACTAGCCATTAAAAAAAGGAATAATATATACTTCCTAAATTAATCACTGGAAATTTGTCGGTTTTACTGTCACTGTGGTCATTTCGTTTACTTTCATGATTACAAGAAGCAGGAAATAATTGTTAGAAAAAGTTCTTTCTCAGTAAACAAATCACTGCATAAATTGCATATTATGGGAACAAGAGGAAGATGAACAGAAAAAACCTGGAATACTTAGGTTGGATTATTATTATTGTTTGTTCCAGCAGTGAATTTCCACTTCACTCGGTTCTCTTCTATTCTTTTTAGTTGGATCCAGGACTGCCTTTCACTTCCTACCCACATGATCACCTGGATGTCACCCTCAGACCTATACTCATCTCATAAGTTCTCATTCAGGTTTAATTCGACGGCCTGGAGCGTGACTTCACTCAACGGTCTCCACAGTTTATGTCTAGTCTCCATTTCCTGCTGCATATTTGCCGGATGACAGGTTCTCGGTTGGTTTATTGTCATAGTCCTCAGTTGTCTAACCTTTCCGACTGGCCAGCCAGATGATCTTCAGGATTGACACAGAGAAGACAATTGTTGATAAAAGTTTACAGTCTGAACCATGTAAAAACAGTGACTTAACACTGACTTTAAGTTTCCTGACCTTGTTTCTCATCCTGAATGAGTGCTGTAGACCCCCACGCTGGTTTCAGAGTAGAACAATGACTGTCCTGCTTCCGTCACCTGACGTTAGATGGCCTTGACATTCTAAATTGCGCTACCTGCAGTTGTTCGAAACTGTCCAGGTCAAGTGAATGAAAGAGACGACTTCCCTGAGATTTGTTCCATTGATGGTGACTGATGTTTGATGTTGTTGGTTGGTTATCTGCATCACTTCTGTCTTCTCTATGTTCAAATGAAGTCGTGCCTTCGTTATCTCGTCCGCCAACTTGTTGTTTGTTGCCTACTGATCTTCGAGTTTGTACTGCATTAGATATAAATCATGTCATACGGACTTATTATAACACTGGTTGAGAACAATATGTAAAGCATATAATACAAAACTTACTGTTCGTCTCGAAGTTTAACTTCTCGTCGATATCTCTGGTAAGCTAAATACTCTTTGTCATCAACGCGGAAATAACGTAAACCACCTAAGAGAAACAAAGACACCAAAACAGGTGGGAAGTGTCAGCAAATCAATAAAAATCCAAGAAATATCAAAATTTAGCGATATGAAGTACTGATCAACAAAATAAGAGAGACCACTTTGGATACCCTTGAGTTGCTACAAAATTGTTATCGACTCCATATTTGATGACTGCAATTAAAATAAAACTCTGGGTGGTGCTACGATTCGTCCTCAGAGTTACTAGCCAGTGAAATTTAAGGAAACATCTATTGATCTGCAGAATTTTCTAGTATACGTGTGTTTTATTCACATTTAGTAATTAAAGGTATAATTAATTCACTTTTATTTCATCGCATATTTAATAGTGGTGTCAGTAGCACAACTTTAAAACGGTTAGTTACGTATTACTAAAAGAAACACGAAGGATAATGATTATTAAGTGCTTCAAATAAAGTAATCAAAGAACTTGACGCTGTCGTTTGTATACACTTTAAATGTATTTTAGATACACGTTAATTACTCAATAAGGTGTCCAATTGTCATTGTTGAGTGAACTCTACCAGTCAACTTACCCATGCACTCATCATACTGGGTGGCTAAATATTACTGTGTATTTGAATTTATTTTAAGTGAGTGGAGGTGATTGGCAAGACACTCTGGACTCAATTCTGTGCTTACTGAAGTGAAGATGACTGACATCGCTGACTGTAGTACTGTTGCTTATTACAACATCAATCAGCATAATATTATGGAATGTCATCAGGAGAATTTCACAATATTCACTAGAAAGCACAAATTGCAACAAGAAAACCGGAAATAATTGCTTTGCAGAATATGTCACTGTTCGATTTGAGTAATCGGAAGCTATTATTTCTAATTGGTCCACACAACAGAATAGTTGTTTCTGATCTCGTAATGAAGACTAGGCGAAATTTCTCTCGGAGGATAAACGACATTCTCTTCTTAATGTTTTCATTTTAAATTATATAGTAAATCATATGAATACATGGAAGATAAAGAATGATATGTGAACTCTGACCGAAATATTAGAGCTATCTGTGGATTTTTATGAAAGCAAATATGTCAAGTAAAAAAGAAAGTTTAAATATTTATCATCTGAGACTGCATTATCCACCCTCTCTTATCAACTAGATGAATAATACTTTCACTAATGAATAATTTAGAACCTTTTCGTAACAGTTTCTGCAAGGTGTCTTTCTCGTAGGATTACTCTACTGTGTGCCGGTGGTTCAGTGAAAGGATGTTTAACAGCCAGTAGTAAGATCGGGAAAGAAAGAAGGTTGAACGTGACGCTAGCAACCACACCCAATACAAACAACACCACTACTTTGGAAATTTCAAAAAGCGTAAAGCCTTATGTTTCACTTGGAATGTAAGGAATTAAGGAAATAGTAAGCTACAATCTGTAAGTAAACTTATTTTCAACTGATTAAAAATGTCTATTAAATTGCATTTGTTCCTCTCCAGTACAAAAGAAACTTAGTAAGGACCATCTGCCACAGAGTTAGACCTATATGCTCAGAAAAGGTAAGTGAAGATGAAATAAGGATTGTACATGATACACTAATTGAAAATAGCTATCCAGACAAATTTATCAGGAAACTTCTGACTAAGAAAGCTGAAAAGGACTACTCACTATCCGTAAACAAGAAGCCTTTATACATACGACTGCAATTCAAGGGCGATATACCTAGCGAAATAATTATGAAAAAGTGAAGAAAACCAGTTCAAAGAACTTGTAATGCTGACAAAATACAAGTCTTATTTTCTGCAATACCGGTAATGACTCCTCAATTGAAAAATGAAGTACTCAGGTTAGCCACCTCTAATTGTATCTGTCTATTCACCTGCACTTGTGGTGAGGCGAGTTATATTAGCTGTTGCTCTAGGAACTTGATTTTTCTTGGTCGCTCGGGAATATCTACCAATGTGGTTAAATAAAGGTGCAGTGAGAAGCATCAATAGCATGATGTTAAACCACCTGGTCCGAAACGGCCACAAAGGCAGCACTGAAGAATCCTTCTCCATCCTTTTTCAGGCGCCAAATAAAAGTATCCAGATACCGCATACTCCAAACAAAAAAGGCTACCGCGATTCGCCTGTAAAAACCGGTGCTCTGTATGCAGAAGAAGCAAGTGCAGCCAGTCATTTCTACTACCCTGACCGGTCTTCAGTGGAGACTGTAAATTCATGAATTTGTATTATTATGATTTCTCCTAATTTGTCTGATATTCAGTGTATTGTTATGTTGATGCCATCGAACAGTAATCCATTGATATTATTATTATTATTGATTCTACGTTATTTAAACAACAGTAATGTTGTTATTAACACTGATTCATTGACTATTATGTATATCTAGCTGTAGAGTCTGTTGAAATGTAGGTTATCGAGAAGAATATTCTTTTTTCAGTAACCGTTCTTTTCAAAAACTTATTTTCCTCTGTATTTGAAGGAATTTCCTTTGTCGTGAAAGCATTCAAACGGAAAGGGGGCATTTCCAGTGAATTGGCACTCTACTACATGAGATTAGATTCTGAACTACTGTTTTAGTGTAATTTCAGCACAATTTTGAATTAGTTACACATTTACGCCTCCTCTTTACAATAAGAATAAAGCATAGGTGCAGGAAAACAGTGACTGATTGTTTTTACATCCAATTAGGCTTCAGTTGACGGACCAGACAACTACAATGATTCCCTTAAGGGGATGGATTAACTTACCTAACCCACCAGAGAGTTATCCATAGTCAGAATTGTTAGTTTTAAGAGTTCATGTATAATCCCCATCCAGGCATTAATGAAAACAAAACACGTAGATCAGCGAAGAGTCTCTTTTCGGCGATTTCATTTTCTTAGCTGTACAATCGCAAATATATATGTGTTATTTTATATGTATGTGTACAATAAGTTTATCAAACAAAATTACAATTGGTTATAGTTATTTAAACTAAACAGGTGAAAACTGGTAATTGGAGTTACGTAATAGAAAATCAGTCAAGAAAATTAGGTGCTATTGAAATTAGGGTAGTAACAAAGTTGATGAGTTGTCACAAACAGTTGTTAAAAGAAGTTACGTAATAATATGAATAGTTTGATGAGTGAGTTTTACTCAGGATGCACATAGGAACAAAGTAGATAATACGAAATTACATAAGAGTTCTAAATGAATACAAGAATTACAAGCAATTAAAGAACAGGCAAAGAAACAAAATTAAGTCATCAAAATAAAAAAATCAAATCAAAAAAGTTGTTACCGAGACAGTAGAAGTGGTTGAGTAATCCTCTTTTGTATGCACAGCTCCGGTTTTTCTATGTGAATGGCCAGAGCTTCAGCGATACAAAGAAGACGAAACCGTATTGCCTTTGATAGGTTATTTTCGACTCTGTAGATTACTTTGAAGAAGGCGTTTGTTGAAATGGAATGATCAGTTTTAACAAGGTGTTCAATTATCGCGCTCCTTATTGAACCACTATTGCCTTTTCGCAACCATGCTGGATAGTGTTCTTGAATCCTCTTGGATAGGGTACGCGTCGAACGACTGATGTACCATGCTCCACAGCAGCAGGTGAACTGATATATGCACATAGAAGTGGTCAGATGTGGGATCTTGTCCTTGAGGCTTCTGCAGATCAGTGGGCAACTGGAGAATACTATTCTTAGCATTGCTGCAAAGAATGTTCTTCTCAGAGATGATGTGATCCTTCTTTTGAGAATACCGCTTGCTAAATCTCCCTTGAAATCCAGGTTCATGTAGAGTTTCTTTTTTGGCGCAAGTAGAGTTTGGTTTCTCCGAATTCTTGGTTTGATATTTTTGTCGATGAATCTCATTGGGTACCCATTTTGGATGAAAATTTCTCTTAGAATATCTAATTCTGTTTCCAGAGCGTCGGGACTACAGATGCGTCGGATGCGGGTGGCAAGTGATTTAATTAAATTTCGCTTTTACCTCGCTAAGCCAGAACTAAAAAGCTGGCGAAGAGGAAAGGTTGGGCATGAGGCTAGCAACCTCATCCTGTAAAAATAAACACTGCTACAGAAAGTTCAAGCCTCTAGCTTGAAGCCCTATTTTCCACTGGGAACGTGAAGGAATAAAAAAATTTGTTGAATGGGTACACAGCTATAGAAGCTTGTTAGTTGACCATTCCAAGTAGGTTTTCTACGGGTCGATCTTCTTAGGCTCCCATGAGTTCTTGTTAGTTCCATATCAAGAAACGGAATTTTTGACTCGTTTTCCATTTCAAGAGTGAATTTTATTGCTGGATGGCAACAGTTAAATGTCTTCAGCAGTAGATTGGGGTCATTGTTGTTGTCACGAATAATGGATATTTCGTCTACGTATCTTTTATACAGTCGTAAATTGTCAATGCTTGGCTTTAGTGGGCCTTTCTCGAGGCTTGCGACGAAGCAATCTGATAGTAGTGGACCCATTGCAATACCATTTTTTGTTTGTAGATGGTGTCGTTGAATGTGAACTGGACGTTTAGAGTGCATCTCAATAGTAATTCCTTCAAATATGTTGTTAGTATTCCAATATTGAGATGGTTCTCATCTATATATTTGCATATGAAGCAGACCGTTTCCGTGAGTGAGACATTGGTGAAAAGTGACTCAATGTCGAAGGACAGCATAATTTTGTTAGATACATTCAGGTCTTGTATGCAGTCGATGAACTGGAAGGTGTCACGGAGCGAGTGCGTACATAATTGTTTCCTTACAGGTTCCAGAATATCTGTTAGCCATTTTGCAATAGAGTGGTAAGGGGAACCTGACATATCCAGAATTGGACGAAGTGGGAGACCAACCTTGTGTACCTTTGGTGGACCGTAAAGTCTTGGTATTATTGAACCTGTTGGTCGGATCCGGTCATAGATATCCTCACTGATTAGTTGACTGGCCTTCATTCTCTTCAAGACGTTTGTGAGCTGCTTCTCAATCTGTTCCTTTTTGTTCCTTTCATTGGAAGGCTGGGAAAATTTATCTTCATTCGACAGTATATAG